CGTTCAGTGCTGCTTTACGGGCCCGTTGTGCCGAGATCTAGACCGCTGTTCGTTGATCCCGACGTTGACGCCGAAACGTTGTATAGTTGACCTGTATCTTGTAAGAGGGGTACATAGCGCTCATTTGGAGGGTCCAAATTCGGAGGGATCATCGTTGACTATGGTAGAGTCGGTGTTAACAGAAGAGTGCATGCTAAGGACTTCAGTTTCGGGAGCCTTGCATACTAGAGATGTGCCAGATCAAGAGGCACTCTGAAGCAATTTGTCGAGGAACATCATCACATTGATCCAAGGTCGGTCGAATTTCAATAATCAATGGTAAGGCACGGATAATCCTTCGATGATATGACGATGGAAAGGTACGGCCAGTGATGGTCAGTGGAGCAAGTTAAGATGGACTGGAAAGTTGTTGTGGCCGAGCTATTGCTATTGATGCCTGGGGAATTCAATGCTTTATCCAGACTAGCTGGTGACTGTCATTGCTACTATCCTTTTCTCGCCCTCCATGAGAGATCGATCATATGGACATGAGGTCCAAGTAAATGAAAAGCTAGGGATCCCACAGATACACCTACACGTACATGCTAGACAAGAACGATGCACAAACCACCTCTATTAAATAGACCCCAGAGCACCGAAACTCAAGCCTCGTGCTAATCCCAACCGTAACATCTTGAGGACTTCCTCTCCCTTGATATCCTCCGGTAAAGAAGCTCGCCAGTCCCATCCGCGTTCGTGAGATCCTGTTTGGGATCCATCCCCGGGGCGAGGAACTAAGACAGCTGAGCCGGTCACAGATCCCGAGCCAGACATGGTTCGGTTCCGAGCACTCTCGATCATATCACTGCCAATTAAGGAGAATGTGCTGGATGCGGTGAGCGAAGATACAGATTTCTTCAGGAGTGCCCGCGGTGACGGCGGCAGAACGTAGGATTCGGCGGAGGATCGACCGCCGGACGGTGCACGCTCAGAAGAGTGATACTCGATGAGCGCGGAGCGGAAGCATTCTTCGCATTGGGAGTAGACGCGGGGCGTGACCGTTTCCAGATCTTCAATGGCAGAAAGAATAGTAAACTGTTGAGACATCGAAAGAACCGGAGTGTTTTCTATCACGAAGTCAGCCTCTGAGGTCACGCGTCAAAACAACTATAACTTACGATCAATAAATGGCAATGCCTCTCCCAAGAGTGTCAGAAGCCCATCCACTTGCACCGCAGAGTCACGAGCAGGATCATAGAGTCCACCGTAGATACTATCTGCGGCGCTACTGATTACTGCAACCAGAGCCTGGGCCGCTGCCCTACGTCTGGCTAAGGGCTTGAACCGAGGTCGCTGTCCCTCCTTGAGCCCGATCGCTTCATCTCGTATCTCATAGAACCGCCGTAGAGTGGCATATCCGCTGAAGTAAAATTGGAGAATGCTTGCAGCGTCCTCATCAGAACCTGCAATCGCTGAAAGGCAGGTCTTTGGATCTCTGATCAATGCCTCAAGCTGCTCATCGAGATCTGCAGATGCGGGATATGCGCGCGATAGAACCAGGCTGTACGAGATGAGTAGGTCGACAACCGACTTCACCTTCCGACGGCTGTGTGCACGAGCGTAGCACACCAATGCCAAACCGTACTCATCAGATTTTTCCACCGTTTGATCACCAAATCGCTGCCAGATGGTTAGTTTAAAGATCAAGAAACACAACAAGGGCGAGACTTGAACACCGCGTACCTCAGACACTCTCCTTCCTTCCTTGTCCAGACCAAGCTCGGAGCAAAGTAATACCACTTTGTCCAACTGCTCAACATTATCAAGAGGGATCTTGTCAAGTAATTCCGAAACACTCTTCTGCAATTTCTCCGCGTCATCTAGACGGCTCACAACCTCCAGAGCAAGCTCCCAGCCATCGCGGACGCCGGAAGTGTGCTCAATTGTACGTCGTTTGAACAAGCCGAGCGCATAGCTGCTTAGAACGTCATCCTTGCGAATTCGTTCGTTCGGCTGATTGCCGTTCTGCCCGTACGATAGGACCATCAGGTCATTCTCACTGAGACCCGGCAGCGGCTTCGCTCCTCTCTCTGTATCGAGCCAACCACCAATCGAGGCGACCTCTGCCACAGCAGAGGCAATACACAAAGACCATGTTTGAATCAGCTCAAGCACACCGTCCACATTGCCCTCGAAAACAGACGCCAGGCCGACCTCGAGACTACTGAGTGGATTGACCCTGAAACTCGAATCCGCCATTTCCTCATTGATAGCGCTACGGAAGGCAAGATCCAGGCGCTGAAGATAGGCATTCACAGGGTCTTCGTTGGCATCGCGGAAAGCCTGCGATCTGAACATGCCGCTGCGGAGGACATCGCCCTTCCCTTGCGCCGCCTCCTCATCATCCTCACCGTCCCACCAAACCGTAAGCGAAATGGTGGCCTCGATCCAGTCTTGCGCGAGGTTCAGAATGGCGTTGGCATCACCTACAATGATGCGATACAAGCATCTCAAACTTTGATAGATTGTCCAAGGCACACGGCTTTCTGCCATGCGCGCAGATTTGGTAAAAGAGAAGTCTGCTTTTGCTGGACTAGGCTTCAGCCCAAAGTTAATGGCCTGAAAGCGATTGTCCGTGACCGGAGGTTCGACCGATTGCTGCTCTCCTCCTTCCGCAAATTCCTCTAGATCTGTTACGGCAGCAGTAACACGTTTCCTGTACAACGCCCATTCGGCGCCTTTGACATCCCAGTCATCGTACTGGATGCTGGGAGACGACTCTAAAATTTGAAGAGCCTTATTGACACATCTTTGGATATTTTGCAGCTGTGCTCCACGATAGCCTGATTGTGGTAAGCCATCCTCCAAAGCTGATCTGGCATAATTGAAATCCGCCGATCGCAGTATATCTGCCGCCTCCGAGAAGCGCCCACGTAGCACCGCTGCATTGACGATCTCCCAGAAATTGGAAGACGCCGTGGGATTAGGCTCAACTTCCTTCAAAGCTCGCAGTTCGTCGCGCTGAGAAGAATGATACGCTTCAAGCCAGTCCAAAAGAACCTTGGGTATTGGCGTAGGTGTATCAGGTTTCGAGGCCGCGACGACTAGACTCCGGGGAGCCGCAAACCCTAGATTATTGTTGAGACTTCCTTGCTTGGGGGCCGACAGGGGCGGGTGATGGAGTTGAAGCAGTAAAGAGCCGAGAAAGCTGGCCTTGGCAACGTCAGGAGCACGATCGCCAGGTCCAATGTCAGTCCCTGCGCCAGGTGCTGTGGGAACACGGCTTCCCTCCATGGATAGCTTCCATGAGTCAGTAAGCCTGCTGCACACCTGTGAGAGAATAATTTGAAGGTCTCCATTCGTAAACTCAGATTGTCTCACTTCGTCGTACATTCGACACATTTCGTCCTCGGTGCTGATGATCACGTCACTTGGCTCGTTGACCACCGCGGGCCCGGCTCGGGAGGCGAAGTTCCGTACGATCGAAGGCATCGCGGAGTCCTTCTTTGGCGACAGTTTACCTTTGCGCAACGGTGATTGTTGAGCCCATCTTTCGTCGAGCTTCGGTCGTTTTGCGTTGCCTGGGTTTGAGTATATTGACTTCCGTTGACCATGCGACGCAGACTGTGCTTGTGTGGAATTGCCAAACTGCGAGTCTAAGAATCTCAATCGGTGTGCGGCATTGCCCATGTCCATTTCATCCTCCTCCTGGACATCCTCTTCCTCCTCGGGTATCATTTGTTCGTCATCAGCATTGGTCTCTGCATCCATTTGCGAAGTAAAGCCATTAGACATTCCGAAACCGGTTGATTCGCCGAATCGAGTATTATCCGTCATGCTGAAAAGAGACTGCGACTGCGCGAAGGATTTCCCTGATCCAGCATTTTTGGCTCGGGGCGCTGGCTGATGGAAGGATCCAACTGAAGAATTGAAGATGCTGTCATTGAAATCGACCCCTCCGGATTTGGTGAAAAGGGACTGAGGAGAATCCAGGTGCGATCTTGAGCTCATCTGAGAGCTTCCGTATATGGTGGATGGAGGAGGGCCTCGAGGAGTGAAGGACTTGGCTGCGGAAGGCGGAGCATCACCAGGAGTCGCCGAGATGTCGCTGAAAAAGCTTCGAGATTTGTCTGGTGTCGACGGACTCGATCCATAAGGTACCTGGAAGCTCATATTGATGGTTGATGAGGTATTAATTGGTAGGGAGAAAGACGACTAATAGCACTTTTTAGCAACGGCACCAATACTAGCGACACTGAGCACCGGAGAATGAAATCCTCCTCTTTCTAAAGATTCCTGTCGGTATCCCAGCTCGTAACAAGCAATTCCTGCGGAAAAGCTGGAGAATAGATGCGCAGTAGCTGCCAGTCGGGTGGCAGACTGAAAAGCGAGCTAAGGAGGACAAAAATCAGCAGCAATCATCACCCTGCCATCAACACATTGCAGTGTTTCTCCGTGCTCTTCACCATTATTTCTCTCCATTGTCTGACGCGCGCTGGGTCTTGGCGTCCAGTTGCCATGTCATGTGACAGCATGTGACTTACACATAGTCACGTGTAAGGTATTGGACGAAGCATAACATGTGATTGGCTGCTTGAGCTGTGGGATTGGTCTAACTGCTTAGGGTTGATCGTATTCGCTGCGTATTGTGATTGGTTAACGTACAGCACGTCCTCTTTAAGGCTGAGTTTAATATGTTAGGTAGACTAGTAGAAAGGCTCAGCCCCGTAATAAGCCATGGAAACCGCCCGTATTGCTGGCAAAGCCTGGCAAGTGGCAACGGAGCAGCCGATGTCGATCATTCAGGCAATCAACTGGGCATTGCCTTCCTTGGGTTAACCAGAAACAGAAACGATCCATCAGATTGAGCATGAATAGCGGATAGACCAAGCTTTGCTATGGAGTGAACAATGGCTCAACTCATGAGCGCTTCGTGTTCGCTAACCGGCCAGCAGACTATAAAGATGCCAGGTCTTCCTGGATAATTCAGATCTTTTTCTAGAATCATACCATCCGCAAAAATGAGTCACTCCAAAGAAACCTATGGCACCGACGATGCCACCCTCGCGGATTCGTGCAGTGCTTATCAGTATCAGACCACAATGACTGAGAGCAACTCTCTTGGCCCAGTTCCTTTGAACAAAGACAGCTCTTGCCGCCTTTATCATATATATCACACACTCTTTCGCCATGATTATAACGTCCACAATGCCAGCAAGGAACAGCTATACCACGTTCACAATTCAACGTGGACACCGAAGAAACCCGATCTCAGCGTTCATGCCGGCACTAGTGCAGAAGCACCGGTACTGGCAGTCTGCAAATTCCTGCATTTCTCACGGCATCTCAAAGTCGGATTGGGAAACCCTGAAACACCAAATTCAGTTGATTGGGAAGATCTCGTGTCCCTCAGCCACCTTCATGCAAGATATCGGTTTCAAATGTCGCTCAACCCAGAGTATGGGGTAGAGCGGCGAGCATTCATTTGGAAGAGCACGCATTCGGTAGGAGTTGGGGATACAAAGCCTTCGACGTTTTCTTGGCGCAACTACAAGCTTGTCGATGAGGCGACTGATCGGCTCGTTGCCGTGTTTACGAGCAGCGTTTGGGGTTGTAAGAAGTCTGGGAAGCTTGAGATCTATGCGAATTATGGGCAGGAATTCGACCTGATGGTCATCATCACTGCTCTTGCTCTGCGTGAGAAACAACGTCGACGAGACAAAAGATCCTCATCAGGAGGAGGCGGCAGCTGAGAAAAGGGCTCAGCTAGTTTGAAATTCTTGCATGGGAAAGGTGATTCTGTTTCGGGCACACAGTTCAGCAAGGTCTCGGAAAAGTTTGGCAAGGTCTTAAGGTTGCCCTACATCCCCTGAGACCTTGTCGAACTTTCCCGAGACCTTGCTGAACTGCAACCTGTTCTGGTTCTCTTCACGGTGTCTTTCTTCCCTTCTTATCGCGATGAGCACAGATACCATATACGCTTCATTTTGATTGACTCCCATTTTGTTACTTACTAGATTCGGCTGTGAATATCGAATAATCGAGATTATTTCTTTGACTCGAAAGAAATAAATAAAAAGAGGAAAGTAAACACTGTAGTAAAACCCCGTTGACTGAAGAAGCGATAAGGTTGGATGACATAATCAGCTGGGAACTTCTTTTGTGTTGCCTAATGTGGGACGTTCTTTCGATGTACCACTGCCAACGTTATGCCAGAGTGCCCTCTGAGAGATGGCTCTTCGAAGACCTCATCGTAAATCAAGACATGGCTGTGTAGAGTGCAAACGACGCAGGGTCAAAGTACGGAGACGCACACCACTTAGCTGAGCTGCAAAATCATTATCACTAACGACTCTCAGTGCGATGAAGCTCGCCCAGCTTGCTCCAACTGCGTCAAGCGCAGGGCGCAGTGCGAGTACGACTCCAGCGGCTCATTTTTGTGGGCAAATGGGAGGTCGCAGTCCCGCTCGAGGTCGAACAAATCTGCCTCCGAGGGGCCTCCGGAGCAACAGTCGCTCCACGACACCGCCGTTTCCTTTGGCATTCTCGGGAAGCTGGGTGGACACGGCGCGGCAACTCAGTATTCACTTACAGGCCTGAACTTGTGTGATTTGGAATTGATGATGCAGTGGTGCAATGAGACCTATAGGTCCTTTTCTCGCAATGAGCAAACAGACCGCATTTGGCGCGCCTGTGTCCCTGAAGAGGCGCTGTCATACCCGTTTCTCATGCATGGGATACTCGCTATCTCTGCGCTTCATATTGGGCGGACCAGGGCTGATCATCGCCGTGCCGACTACGTCAGCATTGCTGTCGCGCATCAGGACCAAGCATTGACCTTGTTTCGTGAGCAGCTACATGACATTAACCCCTCCAATGCCAAAGCCATGTTTGCGTTTGCGAGTATTGTGGCCGTCTACGCATTTGGCTATCCTCATCCGCCAGATGCGAAAGACCCGTGGGACTACATCGACGATCTGCTTCAGCTGCTCATACTGTCGCGGGGCGTGCACGAGGTGCTGAGTACCGCATCTTCTTCGATAAAGGACAGCGATTTTGGACCCATTGTACAGTTTGACGAATACGAAGTCAACCTTCCCGGTGATATACTCTTTGCTTTAGGAAAACTCCAAGACGCAAACAAGTCGATTGGGGAGACGGATGCCACCCACGATACGTCTATTTATGAGGACACCATTGACAAATGGGCAGATATGACGGGCGCGGTGTTCAGCGGCCTAACCTCCATTGCTGTCGCCTGCAGGTGGGCGATCAGGTTGCAACCGAGATACGTGGATTGTCTGCGGGAGCGTAAGCCCCTAGCTCTGGTCATTCTGGCATACTACTGCGCAATCCTCCATCGTCTCCGACACAATTGGTGTCTCGATGAGTGGGGTCCTCGGGTTTCAAAGGCGCTCTGGCTTGTTCTAGATGAGCATTGGCGCCCGTTGATATATTGGCCTATGAGAGATATCTTTGGCCAGGCATTCGAACCGAATTTAACCTGAGCCCTCAATGTTGAAAGCATGATTCTATCTGCATCTGGCATTTAACAATACCGTCCACAAGCGAATAATCGTGCATGTGGAGACGATGAAAAACAAGAAGTCAAAGGACCATCGCTCTAGCAAAATGACAGGTTGGAAGGAAAACGACATGGCGGTATAAAATCGAAGAAACAGACAATCCATGAAGCGTCATTGCGGCAAGGCTAGAGAGCTGCCCAGCATGCATTCGTCGAGGGAATCCGTGCTGCTTCTATCTCCTGTTACGGAGGCAAATCGGCGAGGGAAGGCACAGCTCGCTTGCGCGAGCTTAAGGACATTTTCCCCCTGGTTTTGGAAGACGTATCTGCGGTGGTCCTGTACAGTAACGGTTCTCTCTCAGTCACTAGCGCCGTGAAACTCCTTCGGGAGGCGTTCAAGCATCATCACAGGACTTCTAAAGCCCATGAAGGCGGCCCGGGACAAGACGGCCGAGGTCACCCCTTCGCCACAGATAGGGATTGAAGGCTCCCTAGAGTGTCTTCCTAGTATCATGGATGAGTTAATGGCACCTGAGGAGCTGACTGAGGCACTATTCCCTAGTCTTTCCTCGCCTTTCTCTCCACTAGCAGTCGTCTTTTATGCTACTTGACGCTGACTTCGGTGGCCGCCATTCCCCACATTGTCCCCTCCTTGGTGAGCAACGACTCAGACCCTTTGTCAGGGGCACTCAACGTGCTAAACAGGAAGAGCAGCCTCACAGACCTGGAGACCCCCTTTGGCTGTCATTAATTTCCCGCGGCCCAACAAACAATTGATCTCGCTGGGGTGGACGACCAGAAAGATAGTCATCACGAACCACATCAGAAGTCCATCAAGTACATATATGAACACTTCGCTCTGCAGCAATGAACCATCCCAGCCTTGAAGATATTCGGCAACTCGGAACACGGATCGAACCAAGATCAGAATACTTGATGCATATAGCGCGCCCATATGTTTCTTCCATGGAATGTACTCGGCGACAGACTCTGGGGTTGGATGGGCAGCGATCCGACGCTGGAAAATGAAAGCGCTTATCACAAAGAAACCAAAAAAGATGATCTGCACAAAGAGACCACCAACGATGACATTTTCGCCGGTGCTCTGGTTGTCCGTGACCAAGATCCCCGCCCCTGTCATGAAACGGATTGTCAGTGTTTGGCTCTCATCTAAGGACATAGGGCATCAATCAATGAAAACCATACCTGACGCTTGCATCAAGAAGCTGAGAACGTCTCCGGCAACAAATATCTTGGTCATCCAGGTTACTCGAATGATTGCAAACTTCTCCCCTTTGACGAGAAGGATGATTCGACCCAGTTCCATGTATATACTGGCAGCAAACAGCGCCGGCGCTACCAGCAACAATGTGCTCTGCATGATATACGGACCAAGAGTCCAGTTTGGCGATTGGGATGCTGACAGGCAGCGTCCAATGTATCATATCAATTCGACTTGATGGAAGTCAGCCATTCAGCCAGTGAGAGTCATCCTGCGGGAGCAGATCAGAACTTACAGTAGCCTCCTATGACCAGAGGAATAAAAAACCATGTTCTTGTTCGAAAGAGATGGAAGGTGTGTAGCAGAGTAACGATGCCGAAGAGGATGACGAATATCACTCCTGCCGCCATGGAGGGATAGTACTCGTAGGCTACCCAGCCTTCATACGCTCGCTTTAGCAACATGGTGAGCTTATATGTAACAATGACAAGCACAGCAGAGAGGAAGGGCTCCAGAACCAGAACCAGAATGTTTGTTTGAGAGGAGAATTTCAAGGAAAGAGATAGTCAATTCTGTCAGAACGATACCCAGCTAGGAGATATTTACATCTTATATAGCTCTGCTAGTCACCTCTTCAATAAATCTCAAATTCATCGAATGTGGCTCATCCCAAGGCAACGTCGAAAACCCACTATGGAGCGACTGGATTGTTCGTATATCTCGTACTAATTCCCCTTTTCGGTAATAGTGATGATCTTTTCTGGTGCCAAGATATCCACCGTTCCAGCCCTCTCGTTTACCGCAGACTTCGTATTTCTTACTCTATAAGGATAAGCACCGTTGATTCTGTAGGTGATGCAGTTGTTCCCCGAACCATATATCAACCATGAAGAAGCCGATATGAATTGCTTTTTATGGACACGATAAATTGTACTCTGTACTAAAACTAATTCACTACAATTTCGACTGCGCTCCCATCTCGTTGGACAGTACATATCGATATCTCGCCCTGTTAGCATCCATATCAGCCAGAGCGGCATTGACATCGTGCATCGGCCGCTCCTGAATCCACGGCAACACCTTCCTCTCCGCAGCCAGCTGCAGCATCTCCCGAATATCATCCGGAGACCCAATATTCGACCCCGTCACTTTCACCCCCTTCTGTATCAGCGACCATGCCGTCAACGGCGGAAGCGGCGACTCCGGCGCTCCAACCTGAACGAACGTCCCATCCACCTTGAGCAGACGCAGATACTGCGCAAGAGGCATATCCGGCGCGTCAACGGTACAGATGATCAGATCAAGGGAGCGCGCATGCGTCCGCGCCCATTTCTTCTCCTCGTCCGTAGCGACGAACGCATCTGCCCCCAGCCCCTCCACCGCATCGCGCCGCTTGCTCGACGTCCGCGAAATCGCGACGACGCGATCGCAGCCCATCGCCTTGGCAAACAGAATCCCCATATGCCCCAGCCCGCCAATCCCGACGATCCCAACCGCTTTCCCCGGGCCCGCGGCGTACTTCCGCAACGGCGCGTAAACAGTCACGCCTCCGCAGAGCAGCGGCGCCGCGGCAGCGGAGGGCAGCGCATCGGGGATCTTGAACGCGAAATGCGCGGGCCCGCGCCAGAACTCCGCGAACCCTCCGTAGGCTTTGCTCTTGTCCGCGTACCGGCTGTTGTAGGTGCCTGTGATGCGGGGACAGTAGTTCTCGCGGCCGTCGGCGCAGACGTCGCAGTCTGCGCGGAGGCAGGACATGCTCTGGGCGCCGATGCCGACGCGGTCGCCGACTTTGATTGAGCGGGAGGCGGGGGAGGAGGCGAGCGTTGGGACGCCGCTGCCGATGCGGACGACGGTGCCGATTATCTCGTGGCCGACTACGCAGGGGTAGTCGGCTGGGGCCCAGCCTGAGCGGAGGGTGTGGATGTCTGTCCCGCAGATGCCGCAGTGGGAGACTTTGACTTCAATGTCGGTTTCGGTGAAGGGTTTGGGTTCGAAGGTGGTGAATGTTAGAGGGCTGGTGGCATCATGGGCGACCCAGCCATGGAATGTTTTGGATGGTGGTGAGGACATAATCCAATGGATATATAATATGTATCTTCCTTCAGTATGAACCGCAGGCTTGATATCGTGTATATATACTCAGCAGTATCCAAATGGTTCCGTATGGTGTTGGAATAAATTGTTAAAGGGTTGGTGCTGAAAGAGGATGAAACACTCAACCAGTGAAGGAAGGTGAGGAGCCAGATAAAAGTCACAACAGTGATTATTTCATTATGCCTGTGGTAGTTAATCTGAAAGTGAACGGTCTGGCAATAAATAATGCGGAGATTGACTTATTGCGGTTCGAACGTCCAGTTGCCGAGGTTGTGGGGAAGCTTTACGGGCACAAGACGAGATGCCGACAGACACCTTTAGTGTCTCCGCTAGTGGCATTCTCAAGATAAACTTGGAAAGCGTATATTATGGAATTATTGTGATTGATAGTAGATGGTTCGCTCCAGAACAGTACAGAGTGGCAGCGATTACATGCGCCGTGTCATAAGAATCCCGCCAGGTGTGCAAAAAGAATGTATGTACAGATAAACTGCTTGGGGGTATCAACAAAACCAAACGCCAGATAGATGTATTCCAGACAAGGCCATCGATCCCGTCATCGCGATGGCATCCCCATCAGCTCTCCGAGCTCGTCGCTGGTCAATGTGCTTCTCCGTCGGTCACGAGTGCCTTTCTTGGGGCTTTTCACTCCTCGAGTTCTCTTTCGGCTTTCTGTCTCCTTGCGAGCTTCCTCTGCGGCTCGCGCTTCGCGTTCGGCAGCTGCTAGCTTCTGCGATACGCTCAACTGTGTCTCGTCCTCGGGACCCTGTGGCTGTCAAGTCAGACCTCATCTACTTCTAATCACTTGTTCTTGGCCCTTACCTGATGCGACGCCTTGGGATCTACCCTTTTCTTTGATGGCCTTCGGGTCACAGCCTCGGATTTGTGAGCTTTGACCACCAAGGTCTCGTCTTCTTGGCCAGCCGCTACACATGGCGAGCCTTGGAGTCCAGGTGTAAAGGACACTTTCCGAGGCCCAGAAACGACATTATCGCTCCGTTCCTTCAGAGCGCGACTGGTAGGTTTGCGAGATTTCCGTTCGCGAGGCGAGGCTATTTTGCTGGCGGCAGCGTCGCCAGTCTCTCGTCGGTCTGCATTATATTTAGCCACTTTGACTGGGATCTCCGCCTCTTCCTCGGCCTGTTGGTCTTCATAAATGGGAGACTGCATGGTGGTATCAATCCCACTATCTGCTGTGGATGTATGCATCGAGTCAACGCTGAGGTCGAGTTTCAACCCCAGCCGGAGCTCCTCTGCTCGCACCGAGTCACCTCCGTCGGCAATTCTCTTGTGCCAGCCATCCATGAGGGTAACGGCCTGTTTCCATCGAGTCTCCATCTTCTCCCATCCTTCTCGTAGACGCTTGATTTCCTCATCGCGGACTTCGACCTCTTCCAGAGGTACAAAGGACGGGTTAGTGAGCAATGTCCTCAGGTGCTCGAGCACTCTGTCCATTTGAACCGATAGTTCCTCGCAAGATGAAGGAAGTGTAGTGACGGGTCCCTGGGACGACTTCATGCCCCGTGTGCTTGTCGATGCATTCGGATACTGCTCGTCTCCTTCTTCCATCTGTGACAACCCTTGTAGATCCAGCAGGGTCTGAACAGTATTGCGCGCAAGCGTAATCAGCATATCGTTTTCGTCGCTCAAGCTCTGGCACAATTCCGTCAAAAATTCGTTCGTTTCCTGCTTCAAGCTGTACCCGGGATCATTGACCCCTTCTCCACCGGCCAGAGACCTAGATTTGGACATTCGATCGACGGTGGGATTAATGCTGATTGTCGTCACGCCCAGACCTTCCCGTCTTCCTCTCTGTCGCTCAGCCAAGTGTGATTTCAGCTTCTGCATCTCCAGGTCGCGCTTGCGGACGTCATTGGCGCACTGTGCGCGAATTTGTTGCACAGCGGTCTTCATGCGTTGTATCTGCTCTTTTAGTCCTCTAATCGTCGCTTCGGTGCTGGACAGGTTCGTTTTCAGGGCACGTTCTTGGGCTTCCGCCAGAGCCAGCGACCGGGCCAATTCCGACGTCTTCGATTTCAACTTTTCCTGTAAATGACTTTTAGTCGTTGCTCTCGGGTCATTGGCACAAGTCCAACATACAATCTCGTGCATTTTCTGCGAGTCCTCCGCGCGCAATGTGCGAATCGTGGTGGCGAGGTTCTCCCGATGCTCTGCTTCCCGCTGTTGACGCTGGTCAGATATACAGCTCAAATAGAATACAAACTCCCAGTCCACATACGTCTCTTCTCAAGACCAAATCATTCACCAAGTTGATGATCCTCGCCATTGTACCATCGATTCCTCCATCGTCATTCTCCGGTTGAGCGAAGTCGATCGCTTTGCCGCTTTGGAGCAGACCTCGAGCAAGGAGCACATTATTAATATAAGTTGATGCCGCCTGTAGATTGTGCGGCTCCATGGCTTGACCTGCAAGCTTTATCGAATATTCGGAGCCAGCGACGATGGCGACGTAGTGATGATTGATTAATGTCAGCGACGACCGTTATTTTCCAATGTGCAGGGATTATTCCAAAAGGGGAAGAAAGTAAACACCGCCATCGCTGGGGCTGTCCGTTCCGACCACAAGCGCAGCGGACTCGAAAATGACCACGCGCATTTCCCGTTGCCAGGTTGATGATGCGCGTCTCTCTTCCGCGTCAGGCGGTGTGGGATGTGGATTTTTGTGGAAGATGGCCATTTCTCGAGGTAAGTCGATTTCTTTGATACTGTTGTTAAGGATGTTCAGATGAGTGCTGGGATGAATCTACTAAGCATGATAATGATATTTGTGTTCAGTGGCTGAGATCTTTGTCAATAGATAGTGGCCTGAGTGATGCCACTGCATTATTGCAGCAAAATGGCCAGAAACTATATCAGCAAGGCAATTTTCAAGCTGCCCTTGAGGTCTTCACAGAGGTAATTTTCACCTCACGGGGTATCTCTGTCGAGTCTTATACGAATGGCTTTATTAAAACGTCCTTTTGTACTAGGCTCTGAAAACCGGCCATGGCGATGTCCTCAGTGTTTATGATAACCGTGCTGCCACCTATACCAAGTTAGCCAAGTATGACCTGGCTTTGCGGGATGCCAGGGCCATGATAAAGACTAACAAACTAGACGCTCGGGTAGGATCGCAAATCCCACATTGCAGATGTCAAAAAGCGCCCCTATTGACCATTGACAGGGCTATCTTCGATGTGCAAAGGTCCTGCTGTCGGATGGTAAACCTGACAAGGCCCTTGACGTCTACGCTTATGCCCTAAAGACTTTGCCGACATGCGACCCTCGTCGTCAGGTAGGTTATTTTTCACCTAACACATGCCTTACTCGAGCCACCTTGTCTGGACTTGAGTCTTCAGCGTATTGACTGTTGCGTAGCTTGTAGAGCAACTTCATGACAAGTTGTGGAGCAAAGCACATGCAAAGTGCCATGATCCATTCACCGTATTGCCATTGGAAGTAGCGATGATGGTTGTCAATCATTTCGACTTCAAGCAGATTGTGTGAGTGGATCAAGACGCATACACTATTGCACAGCTCTGACTACTTTCCCAGGGCTATTCTCCGCGTATCAAAAAGGTGGGATCGATTTCTGTCATCCATACGAAGTCTCTGGATGCGTATCGATCTGTCGGATGCTCGTGGCAAAATTCACTGGCCTTCAGTCCGGGCGTACATCCGTCGATCAAAAGCCATGCTCACACATGCCATTGTCAAGAACGTTTCGACGCCGTCGACGCACAGAGTCTTGGAATTCTTCAGCAGGTGCCCGAACCTAGAGCATCTTGAGATATGGGCTCAGTCCAAGCCGGATGTCCTCTACGACCTGTACAAGGGCTCCAAACGATTAAAAACTTTGATCATATCCGGCCACACAGCCCTACCGCAGGAGATCATTGGCAAATTCCTTCAGACTTTGCCTCTTTTGGAGCGACTCGAAGTTCATGATGCCAAGCCATCTAACTTGGCTCGGGTGGAGTGGCCAGAGACACTCCCAAGTCTCAAAAGTATCACTTTTGGTGCCACGGTCGCCGCTTCTGCACCGGACGTGCAGGCTCCTGCTCTTCATCTTCCGGTATGCCTGACGTTACCGTTTTGTCTTTCGCGTGTAATACAATGAGTCTAATGCCATACAGCAGGGTCTTTCGACATGTCTTCCCAATCTAGAAGAGCTTCGGCTCAGCTGGAACCCACGAATCTTCACCCCTTATCATCTAAGTTTTGATGTACACCAGCTTTCACGGCTGCGTCGGCTGGACTTGAGCGGCGTGTACGTTGGAGCCGAGTTTGGGCTGCCGTCTGGCCTCGAATACCTTCGCATCCGTGGAGGCACAGGGCTCGTTGGAGGTGCCCTCGTCCAAAGGGAATTTCCATTTGTTTACGAGGAACCCTTTGAGCTCCCAAATCTTCATACGCTCATTCTCAGCGACGTGCCTTGGGCCACAGGCTACACTATTCAGCACTTCTGCAGCATCGCCAAAGCGCCTTTGAGAGTCCTCCACCTCGACAGCTGCTTCCGCATCACCGGTGCCCAGATTTCGGAACTGGTCCGCATGGACAGTCTGAGCGACTTACAGGAACTCAACATTTCGCACATTGCGGGCACTGATGACAAGTCGGCTGCCGTTATAATTAGCGCACTACCCAGCCTCAGGGTGGTGCATCTCTCCTATACAAGGATCTCCGGCTGCGCAATAAAAGCTTTTGCCGATGCACGGGACTCCGATGACAACGTAGCGAAAGTGGAGCGGATATACGCTAAATTCTGCGACGAGGTGTCATCAGATGCGATCGCCTATGGACGAGCTCGGGGCGTTGAAATAATAGCATAGAGTGCGACGAGCCGTCTCGATTATTACATGTATTCTATTTCAGGATTTGCGGAACATGTATTATTAGATGGTCTTCTAGACGAAACAGAGCGGGTCTCATCGAACAGAATGAACATCATATTGGATGGCAGGACAAAGCCATAGCAGTGACAGGGGCTCGACCGTCTCAAACAGACACAACTGTGTAACTTAACTACATAAGGACAACTAAACACCCCTCTCTTTGCACCACCTCTCGACCTCCCTCGCCAGTTTCTCTCTCTGATCGCGCACCATTTCCATCATAGGCTCCACCTGCTTCTGCACCGTCGCATCATACGCAAGATGCCCATTCGAGACGACTCCCGCCGCCTTCTGCGGCGCCAGATAAGTATCATAGATCGAAACCATCAGATCCATCACCGCAGACAACTGGTTCGGAAGCCACTACATCCACATTAGCCGGATTTCTTTCACATACAACTAGGAAAAGGTACGAACCGTGACGATGGGACTACCACCGGTAGCAGTGGGATGCGGCGTCCGCTTGATGATATACTCCCTGGCAAAGAGCCAGTGGCGCCAGCGGAAGCTGCGGACGTGGTTCAGCGTCTTGAGGAGCAGGACCGTGGTCTCCGTGTCTTGGACGGCGAAGTTGCGGACGTCGACTTCGGCGGCCTTGGAGTTGATGTAGGCGAGGAATTCGCGGTGGGGGAGGGGTCTGTAGGCGCGGAACTCGTGCAGGATCTTGGTGAGGGGGGTTGAGGGCATGGGGATTTGGAGGAGGTGGTCGAGGAGGGGGATCTGGGTTGCGTTAGTGGAGGTTGCAGATGGAGGGGTCAGGTGGCGCACCATGCTGTCGTTGGCGCCGCTTTCTCCTCGGAAGTAGAGGGGCTTGTTGTCCAGGACGCCGTCGTAGACGACGCCGTTGGGGAACATGGATTGGGAGGTGATGCCGAAGATGAAGACTCGGAAGGAGAGGTATTCGGCGGGCTTGGAGTTGGCCCACATGTCTGGTATTGTTAGCCGTGAGGCCGTGTGCGGATGAATGACGGTGAAGCGACTTACCCTCCATGGAGGCTTCAATCTTCTCCATGGACGCCAGAATCTCTCGGAAGCCGTCGTTGACCACAGAGCGAGGGCCACCTTGCTCAAGGGTATCGACGACCTTCAGGGCGCCACTGATCAGGCCATTGGACTCCTTGACCATATCGACATGAGTGAGGATAAAGCCTGCCTCGGAGCTCTTAGGGTCGAGGCCGCGCTCAAAGGCCCTCACCAGGCGGAGGTTGTCATACTCCAAGCCCTTGGATGGGTCTGCAACGTGGTAGTTGAAGAGCGAATAAGCAGCAGCATAGGACATGAATGGGGGGATATCCAACCTGAACAAGGGTGTCAGTGATGCAAAATAAAGACACAAACGAAGGAAGACATACAACTGAGCACAGCGGTACATGGGACGGGCAACGGCCTTGGGCAGCTTGTCCCGTCCCAGCCCATACCCGTTCTCAGGGGCCTTGGACCAGTTCTCCCAGCATGGCTCAAGCAGATAGGCCGAAGCAAGGAAAGAGTAGTCTCTGAACACTGCAGCGACAGTGTAAAGGTCCGGGGAACCATCAGCAGTAACAAGCTTGTCGACCTCGTCAGTCAGGTCAGGAAGCTCGGTCTCGACCGCAGGGCCCAGCTCATATTTGGCCAGCAGACCGGGAGTACCATCCAGCCTGACGACGGGCATACGGTCCAGCAAGGCCATCAAGGGCTTGAAGGCATCGGGTAGCGTAGTAGGAGAGGTGCAGTAGGGTAGAAAGCCAGTGGAGGTGGTGATGGTGAAGGGGTCCAAGGACCGGGGAAGGGTAGCAGGGTCATCATGGATATGAGGGAACCTCTTCAGGGTTGTGGTAGAGGTTGGTGGGACTTTGGTTCGAGTCATGGTGGAAGTTGGCAGAAGGAAATGTGTCTATGTGTCTATAGGGGAAGGCAAGGGTGACTTGATATAGTGGATGGTTATTAAGAAACACAGGGGGGGATCTATGATATCCAACAAATGAAAGAAAGCGGCAGTACAAAAAGTCAACTAGAGCAAGACGAGGCCACTTGAGAATTTGAAATTCAGAGAAACAGACGGGAGATTTGGCAGGAAAGGAGGCGATTCTTATAATATCAGAGGCCGGTATTATTTCCGGCCATGGGCATGCCATTACGAAATTCGCGTGGAGACATCGACTCTGCGCGTGAAACCATGTTAGAATCATCTGCAAGCGTCAAGTCATCAAATACTAAGTTGATATAGAGATATTCGATGCAAACTTCACCATCTTTTGGCTGATCAATGCAGCTCAATGCCTCAACAACATCTCTATACAAACAGCTGCCAGAGAGGGCACGATAAAGTCACGGGAGCACGCTAGGCCCAATTTGGCGGAGTAGACACTCCGCTCGAGACGTATTTTTCGAACCCGGCACTTGGGGGAAGCCTTCAGACGACATCTAAACGGTATACCATGTGTCTGAAGTCAGTTATCATCAAAGACACTGGAAAATTACATGCTCATTGCTGGGATCTTGCCATGGAACACTCCTTGTCATGCATTGCTTGCTCGATATCTCACTATATGCCAAGATTTGTTGTTACATAAAGCATCCTTTGATTGGCTACTTCTGGTATCACCTTGCCAGATTAGCCTTTTTCAGTGACGTTGGCGCGATAAGAGGCCGGAATCAATCCGGCCTCCGAAGATAGCCGAAGATCGCACGTGATTCAACAGATAAGGTTGGAGATGCACTCACGTGCACTGTTGGCATGAGAATGAAATATGAAGACCATATGTAGCTGTGGGAGCGTTCTCAGAACCCCATGAGGAAATATATTTCTCACCGTACAATTCACCGGCCAATCAACACCCTCGTTATCAATGTAAGCTCATGGGAAGTTGTTAGCGTCCGAGCAACGGACTTGAGATTGAGACCAACCCTTCTTGGTTGTTACTACCCAATATACGAGGATGATTATTCGCCCAAAGCAGAGAATGACTGGTGACCTATCCTGACAAACCTTCCTCAGAGTCCACCCGCGAGGCAGGGATTCGTACAACTGAAGTCGATTCGTCGAATGTAAGCAAGGCTCCGATGCGACGATGTTGAAACAAGCACGTAGATGGCCCTTCCCAGTGGTGCACATTGCAGGAAAACAAAATAATCTTTGATACATTGACCCAGCTCGATCAGTCGTTCGGCCATTGTGTCTGGAACAGGCCGCAATTACACAACTACCAGGAAGGCGAAGCTCACATATTCACTTGAAAAGCACACCCCGTTTGAAAAAGCATAAGGTAGGCCTCGAAGGATTGACCGATGTGATATAGACAGAAGAACTTGCCTATAGTCATGCTACTATAGGGGCCGAGTCCTTGGAGAAAGTTGCCCAACCCGTGCATTTGGCACGGCGTTTCATGCTCTCAAAGTACCAGACTCTGGAATGCTCATGGCAGACGCCGTGGACCAGCCTGCTTTCTTGGAACATTCCTCATATGAAGCAGAGATGATTTGCATTGAGACAAGTCCATGCAGAATATGTCTAGTAAACTCGTAATCGGTATAATGTACACTTCGTGACTAATTTACACATTTCACTTCAAAAACGTCGAAGTGGTATATAGTTGGTTCTTGCAAAAGTCGTTAGCTTTGACCAGAGAACCGAACATCAGAACTTACTGCACCCAAGGTCATATGTCAAAGCAGCATAGACCCAGACATATGTATTCGCTCAACCTAGTTATGACCCGATTGTATGGTATCAATGTCACCCGCTCGACCCTTGAGTATCTGTGCTCGGAGACACTTTTTGAAGCTTCCTGTACTCCTCTTCCAGGGCTTTCTGCATCTCAAACTCGGCTTGTCGCTCTAATCGAATCCGCTGCTTTTCCATATCTCGTTCAACGCCTTTGTGCATTTGCTATTAAGATACCAGAGAATTAGCCTCTTTAACTTGAGGGATACTGAGAAGTCTCCTAGCTTACCGCTTTCTCTTGCTCTTGGGACCAGTGCACAAAGTAAACGATCCCCGCAGTACCAAGACTGGTGAGCGCTAGTGTCACCTTGGAAGCTCGAGACATTGTAGTGCCCTCTAAGAAACGCCCCACGTAAACGGCTCAATCGCGATCTGACAATGCCTAATCTAAAAAGCCATATCGGTGATAATCATCAACGGCAGCGGTGTGGGATGGCAGAACCTCCGACCGCCTTGCGGGTCATTCGTGGCGTATGCGGTTCGGGGATGGAGCTGTTCATCACCAGCTCCACAACTCTACCTAATCTATCCTGAGCTCTGTCTCCTTTATTTGATTATTGTCGCGGTATCTAAAGACACTTCGGCACAATGGTGAGCTACGTGTGCTCTTGTGATTTGAAGTATGGCGGAGACGCTAACATAGTTGATCTAGTCCGCCCAGAACTCAGCAGGCATTCAGACCCTCCTCGATGTAGGTCATTCTGAGGTGATTGCTGTTGGACTTGGACTAATGCGCCCCTGTTAGGCTGAGAGAGAGGCTCAGAAGATTGTACAGCAAGGTTTGTATCTGTCTTCTTTATGACTGTTAAAGTTTTGGATTTCATGAGACCTTGCTAACCTCCTGCGACGCCAGCCAGAGAATGTATGCCCGCATGAACTTCGCACTCGATTGCCATATCTGACGATGGGTACAAATAGATCGCACGAAGCGGATAAGGGACGCAAAGGCAGAGGCTCAGAAGGAAATTGACGAGTACAGACAACAGAAAGAGGAGGAATTCAAGAAGTTTGAGGCTGAGGTGAGTCTCGATTCTGCCGATGGGTTCTGATGGATCCAATGCAGCGGGTCCGCAACCCCAGCGACCTCATAACTGTGGCTGACTATTGAACAATTCCACAGCACTCGAGCGGATACAAGAAGGCCGAGGAGGATGCCAACAAAGAGGCAGAGGCCAAACTTCAAGAGATTCAAGCTGCCGGCAAGGAGAAAGGCGGCAAGGTTGTTGATGACCTGATCAATGCAATCGTTGATGTTAAGCCTCAAGCGTCAGACAAGATAAAGGCATAGAAGTTTGGTACATCAATGTCTGCTGTCTTTAATCCCGTACGCAGTGGTTGCATCTGTTCGGTTTTTTGCTTGCTTTAGGGTCTTGAACATAGCTTCTGTGTTGCTGTTCGCATTAGATATCAAATATCCCTGTTTCTCTCCAGATTTCCTGCGCTGAGCAAGAACGATAGAAAAGATGGATGCCTTATCATAGTGAGCTTGATTGATGGTTGCAGATCAAGCGGGTATTCTATAGTCAGGCGTCCATCACCTACCATTCAACTGACAGTCCATCAGTGAAAGTCTGGCAATGTGTATAAATATGCGCACATCCATATTCGCCCATTGTTGCTCTCAGCGCCTGTGATTATTTGACAAGCATGTGCGGAGTAGATGGTAAATTCTGCCTGAGGCATGAATCACAGATCCACTTGCGTCATAAGGGCCGCGGCATCTATATCACAAGTAAACTTGTCCTTCTTCACTCCTCTTTCTTTGAAACAATTAAAACAAAAAACAAAATTTGGTGGATGAACATGGGACATGTTGGCGCACAATTAGATGCATCTGCACAAGTAAGGGTTGTTCTTCGCAGCCTTTGTAGGTGTTCCTCCTATCGGAGCTTCCACTCTTTACCATGCAAGAGCAATTCGCATAAGCATACAGGTCCATATACTTTTGATCCTCGACTACAAGATCTTGGAAAGGTTATACGAGATGAATATGCGGTAATCAGAGATCATTACGGTACGTCTTATGATTTCCCATCCTTCCTGTGTCCGAAGTCGGCTTGTTGATCGACCTTGGTCAGAAACCCCAAAGCATCCCGTTGTCCTTGCGCATGGGCTTTTAGGTTTTGATGAGTTGCGACTTGCTGGCCCTCTCCTTCCTGGAGTTCAGTACTGGCGCGGAATTAAGGAAGCTTTGACCCTGAAAGGAGTCAAAGTCATCACTGCAACTGTGCCTCCTTCAGGGTCCATTGAGATGCGCGCGAAGGAGCTGGTGAAGGATATAGATGAGGGCGCTCAGGGAAAAGCTGTAAATATTATCGCGTATGTATTCTCTACTTCAATAGGTTGAGGAATAGCTTTCAGACTGACTAGTGTACAGACATAGTATGGTAAGATAGTCCTTAACACATCTTGGTCGTTAAGGTATTCACAAGTCGTCTTACAGGGGTGAGATACTCTGTAATCAGATGAGACTGCTTTGATGATTTGTTTTGACCATGACAAGGGGTCTTGATGCTCGGTACATGATAAGTCGTCTAAGACCGAAGAAGTTCAAGGTCTTGTCTTTGACAACAATTGCAACTCCTCATCGAGGTATGTTGTATGCTTGAAATGATTCACGACTGTTTACTTAAATAGTTCAGGTTCTGCGGTTGCAGATTATGTCCTTGAGCGGATTGGCGGTGCGTTCCATGATTATTCTATAGAGGAAACAAACTCATATCTATAAACCTGCAGACGAACGGCTACCCCAGTTATATTATGCTCTCGGAAAATTCAAGGTTGAAACTGGCGCCTTTTCTCAGTTGACGCGCAAGTACATGGAAGATACGTTCAATCCAACGACGCCTGATGTTGAGGACGTTCGGTGAGTTGTCTGCAGCAAATCAAGGGCAGCAAGGCTGAGTATTGTACAGTTACTTCAGCTACGGCGCAGCGATGCAACCAAGCTTTTGGTCTATGTTCCGCTTGTCCCATCGCGTTCTCCAAGAGCTAGAAGGATATAACGATGGGCTAGTCAGCGTCGCTAGCAGCAAATGGGGAAAATACAAAGGTACCCTTGAAGGGGTCAGCCACCTGGACCTGATCAACTGGACCAACAAGTTCAAGTGGCTTGCGGGTGAGATAACTGGAAACAGGCAACGGTCTGTGAAATCTCTCCCTGGCCACGAGTCCGTCCACTAATATGAGCTGGTTGCAATTGTAGGTTCAACGCCATCGCGTTCTACCTTGACATTGCCGGTAGGATGCGTCAAATTTCTCGCGCGACCAACTTAGTCTGTGGCTGACCATCCATGTTAGATATGCTTGCTAAGGAGGGCCTTTGATGACGCTTTGTTCGGTTGTTGACGAGAAATCTTGATGCCTAGAGATCAGCAACTGGAAGCTACTGGATGATGCTCGTTTTTGTCCCTTTCTGGAAACTTGGCGATACCCGATTAAACTAGCGATTTCTATGACACGGCAATTGCATTGTGCATGACATGTCAAACGTAGGTATAGGTACATATCTTGACGCTGTCCAATAATGATCAGCCTCCTGCACAGCTTTCTGAATCAGTGGTAACATCGAGGGTGGCGGTGCAGCTCTATTTCCGTAGAATGCGAGTGGCTTTGCTCGAACCCTGGCCTAGGCCCAGAAGAACAGCAGATCAGAGAGAACCACAATTATTAGCCAATGAGAAGAAAAAAGGGATGAGGAGTTGTTGAAGGTAATAAGAGGACAGCACTTCTCTGTCTTTCGAATGTTACAATTTGAGACGAAGGTGAACCCCCTGTCAAAGTGTCCGGAAGAGTCACTAAGAGTGGCCCCACGCCCGCCTCTTGCTCTTCGTATTGGAAGAACGTCATATTTCCCACCCTCAGATACCCGTTAACTAGTTAGTTAGTCCATGCCGGACTCCCGTGCTTTTTTCTCCGTCTTACACTTGATCTCTATGACACTGGTGTGAATCTAATTTTTATAAGAACAGTTGTACAGTAATTCCATAAGACCACACTTGTATCGGCCGGTTGGCGTTTCGACGGAGACTGCACGCTGTCACTTCAACTACATCAACAACCACCATTTCCGCTATCATCTTGATCAGGAAGGCAACGCTCGGCTGCTGAGATCGGGTGCCTGCTATGTCTGTAACCATCCATCTGGACAGGCCTCATGCTCATTTCACCAATCTCGACTTCATAACGGGTAGAGTTGTGCTCCACCTCCCCTCAGAAGCTCCCATAGGAGGCATTCAAGTGAAACTTGAGGGAGAAAGCAGAACTCGACTCTCAGGCCCACGGCATCCACATAATGAGCAGTCGGATAAGAAACGGACGGAGCTTGAGGTTCATAAGGTTCGTCTATTCGGAACAGTAAATCAAAAATATCGGTTCGACTAACCGACTTGACAGATCTTGTACAAGGTTGAGACACTCTTCCCAACTCCGGCTGTTTTCAACCAGACAACTCAGAATACATCGTATACATTTGCTGCTGGGACGTACGAGTATCCCTTCCGATTCAAGGTGAGTATATGACCACTAGCTGAGGCGACGACGTCGGCTGACATGATTCAAGTTCCCTTTCAACAATTCATGCAGTTCACACAACAGTATGCTCACCAACCTGAACTTTACCGGGTTGAAGGTTGAGGTGGCCAAGGATACAAATCGACACGTTAAGAAAACCTTGCCTCCTTCTTTGAGTGGCTTTCCAGGCATGGCAGAGATCAAATATTATGTAAAGGCAACAGTCATCCGCCCACAGTTCTACAAGGAGAATCTGAGAGCCGTATGTACTAGTGTCCCTGGCAGTAGAGAATATCGTCATGAACAGCTGCTGACTTTTTACCAGATCACGCCGTTGAATTTCCTCCCAATCGAGCCTCCACGAACTGGAAGGCCTAACGAAGAGACGTATGCTAGACGTCAACATCAATTCAGCAAAGCTCCCGAAAAGATCAGAACCAAGAGTCTATTCTCCAAAGCCTCCTCCTCATCGCTCCGGGATGTGGGAGGAGAGCCTCTCCGTGTCTTTGCAGATGCAAGACTGCCAAACCCGTCCATTCTTACTTGCAATGAGCCAATACCTCTGAGGTTGCTGGTGAGGAAGGTGTCCGAGTCGTTCGAGACGATCTTCCTCCAGATGCTGCAAATTGAGCTGATTAGTTATACCCACGTCCTGGCCCATGATCTTCGGCGCACAGAAGGCGGCAGCTGGGTTCTTCTCAGCCGCAGTAATATGTCTATTCCTCTCGGCAGAGGAGGGGATCCCGCTGGTACAGAATGGCCACTTGATCCCTCCATGTGGAACCACATACCGTTGCCCAGCTCAGTCGCGCCATCTTTTGAGACTTGTAATATATCACGAAATTATGAACTCGAGGTACGAATCGGCTTGAGTCACGGGAGTATCGGAGACATGAAGGTATGTTTGGATCTGCGCACTGTGCTCAATGTTCCCGCTTTGCTGACATTCGAAGCCCCAACTCATCGTACTTCCCTTGAGAATGCCAGTCAAAGTGTACTCTGGAGTAGCTCCTCCACAAGCACTGCTAGATGCCATGGCTGCTACTGGTCAAGCGACCTTGTCTAAACCTGCACCGATGACCGGCCATCCTATGGATGATACAGTCGAGCGTCCACCAGTACCTCCCCGGCCAACGGGTCCGGTCATGCCTACCAGTGTAGAGGATGTCTATGACGAAGCACCCCCCAGCTATGAGGACGCGATGGCTGAAACCCTAAGTCCTGTGGATGGCCCCCGCCGCGAGTATAACCCACCAGATGCTTCTTCTTCCAGCAGAACCATTGAACCTGGAGCTGATTCGACATCGTCAGTATTCCGAAAAAAGGAACGTGAGGCCACATCGCCGTACAGCCACCCTACAGCCAACTCGTCGTCGGAATCGTTTGACATGCTTCCTTCTACCCCTCCGGAGTCTCATTCCGGCTCACCTCCCACATCTCCGGTTGCACGCCAGCAGAGTGTGCTCAAGATACACAAGGCGCTTCCTCCAGACGAGGAAAGTCCACCTCAATATCAGCAGGTTGCTGACAGCCCTACATCAGCGCCGCAAAGCCGCAATGATAGAGGACAACCTCAACCTGGCTTTCGTCCGCTCAATCTTGGAGTACCCAACAGAAAGCCTGTACCACGGACTCCAAGTACGGGAGGCTCATGAGCCTAGACTTGTCGTATTGGACGATGGCGACCCGTCTTTCGCATCAGGAAACGATCTTGTTCGGCATCTTCGCCCACAACAGCACTGTCGCAACAGCTAACAACCATGTCCCGACAGCTTTCCTCTTGGGAGAAGGTTTCCCATGGTCTGAGTTCAAGAAAAGAAAGACAGTAGAATCATATACGACTAATGGCCACCTCCACCAACAGCATACGATCCATCCGAAGGATGTTTGGCTCCCCTAGAGCCAGCATACCCCTCGTAAAAACTCTACATAATCTTTGATACCAGCCCATATTTGCCCTGAGATGCATGATTACTCTTCTACAATGTTGTTTATAATAAAAGATACTCTCGAGACAGAAATACACCTCATGCACTCTACGTGCAATGCATTTGTACTTTGTATTCAGATCCCTTCAAGCTTCATTGTAGCAAAGGGCCTTCACACGGCAAAGTTGATATTGCTTTACTAAAACAGTCCATCACTTAAACTGCCTTCCCTCCGCAAGTTTACAACAACTATAACATAGGGAATTTAATCTTTGGGGTTTTCTTTGAGAGACTGAGGATATGTTATGGGATGATGAGATGATGCCTCAGGCGTCTTAGGACCAAACGGGATTAGCGGCAAAGCCTCAAAGAAAAGAGCTCTCTCCGCGAGCTGTCAAGCTAGCTCTCCCTGTTGTTTTCAGCTGTGCCGTCTCGATCTTTCTCCAGTAATTGCATCTTCTTTTCGCAGATAGCAGCATGTGTGTCGTCTTTGCTTTCTACTTTCGTCTGTAACCTGTCAGTCTCAACCGGCTTCTTTACGCCGCTTGTGCTCTACCTCTCCCAATTTTTTCGCGTCACCGACTCCGACCACTTGCGATTGAACGGCATTATCCTCCAGAGTAAAGGATAGCACGAATTAGTGGCGGTTTCAAATGACAAATCCCTAGACAGATCAACGCCCCGCTATCTCTAGAAGCTGAAGGTGTTCAAGTACCCCCACGATGCGTCTCCACCTTATCATTCAGCGTCACGGTCTACCCGTGACGCGCATTCTTTGGACGACGTCACCGCCGTCAATGTACGGTCAAGCGACGCCTAGCTCCTCCGTAATTTCTGCTGCCTCTTCTGCTATTGCATCGACGCGGGTGCCGAATGCGCTATACTCAAGCGGTGGATATACCATCGCGCAGCTGCTGGAGGATGTCAATGAGGTGGTCCCGTTGGAAACGGAGCCGGCGATTTTCGACAGCGAATCGAGCGGCCAGTGGGGCTTGGAGGACTATGCCGTTGAAGTGGGCGGCTCCGAGTGTCTGCATTTCATGGAGGTCGATGGGCTCCTCAGAGATGGTGATGAAGTAGTGTAAGTCGATAGATCCGGCATCACCCTGCTGCTTGTGCGTGTCGACTGTCATTGCTTGGTGCTGATTTTGAGTCGTCAGTATCCGCGCCCTTCAAATTGCAGATCTCAGAGCGAGACGGCTCTCCGGCCGCCACCAGATTTCAAACGACGGCAAACATCTTATCGATGGGGTCCCGTTTGGCCGGCCTTTCCTCAAACGGCAAACGTCGTCCAGACCGGCGATTGCAATCCCACCAAGGAAGAAACGGCGCACTATGCTTGCGACTTGGGACGGTGATGATGAGGCACAGTGGACTATTCCTGGGCGAGTAAGCTCAATGAAGGAGCTCTCGAGACTCAAGGCTCATGACGATGATGGCATTCACGATGAATATACGGATTATCATCATGACGACGATTACGAAGACTACCATGAGAGTCAAGAGGAATCCGGGGACGGGACAGTCATCCGTCATCCCCTCAGTGAGGGCGAGGATGACGAAGCTTCGGAAAGCGACGCGGACGATTCAGAATTCGAGGCCGAAGACTTGGCGGAAGAGCTGGAGGCTCTTGAGAAAGACCGGGAGACGGTTAGCTTGCCGTCAGTGGAAGTACCAGAAAAAAAGCCCACCGGGCCTGGAGGCTATCCCCTGCGGACCAGGGCCAGTATCCTACGCACTACTTCCGGGCGCCACGCCGACCATCAAACTGCGATAAAAAGTCCATCTGAAGCAGGTTCTTCGCGACGAGACTCCAGAGCTGTGCGGTTCAAGGGGACCCAGCGGCAGGCGTCACCTTGTCCCTCTCAGAGTGAGGGCGATTCCCACTTGAGTAAGGCCGAGCAGGCTTCCGAGGACTCACCCTCCATATACAAGAGCTTCAGCAGCAGTTCCTCGAGTGACACCGATGATTCGACATCTGACGAGGAAGACTCGGCTTCTCATTCCGAAACAACGACTTCTGCTTCGGAGGTGTCCTCGTCTGAGTCTGAAGCAGAAGATGTTGAGTCTGAAGATGACGACTCGTCCTCCGAGTCAGACGAATCCACAACATCCGAATCAGAGGACGAGTCCCTTTCCAGTCCCGCTTCGAACAGGCAACTACAGCCCAAGGTGAACCCTCCAGGCCACGGTTCCCTCAGGACTAAGAAGAGCAATCAGCGCAACAAATTGCGACGGAGGCTCTCGAAGCTCAAGGAGCTTGGCGCTCTGCCTGCCGAAGCCGACTTTGCAACCCTCCGAGAATGGGAAGCGAAGAATGGGGTCTGGTACGAGCCACCTGAGCACAAGCCGAATGAGAAGCGCCGAACGAACGAAGAAGAACAGGAGGAGTTTGAAGCAAAAAGGCAAAAGTTGCTCCATGCCCTGGCAACAGGCGGAGTAGACGTCGATGCAATCATGGAGAAAGAGAATGAGCCCTCGGAGGCAAAGACGACGGACGAGCCAGTGGAGGAGGATGCCGAGTACAATGGGGCGGTTGTGGAACCTGCTAACAAACGACGTACTCTGGATGTCGCAAGCTCCAGACGGTTGCTTTTTGGGTCTCTAGGAGTGCGAGCACCACGGTCCAAGGAAGATGAAGAAGCCACTCGGAAGAAACTCGCAGGAAAAGTCAACAACTTCCGTGCCAAGATTTCAGAAGAGCAAGCTCCCGCTGAGGAAAGCGACAGTGAATCGGAAACAAACTGGCAGGACAAGCTGGTCCTCAAAGCTACTGAATGTGTTTTCGATGACATTGAGCTTTCTATACCTCCTTTCCCGTTTGAACAGCGCTGGGATGCCGAGGCTCATCAAATCATAAAGAAGCGCAAGGGCTGGGGGCGCAAGAGGAAGAGAAGACAGCAATTGCAGGTCTACGAGGCAGACGAGTACGAAGATTACGTGGAGGATAATAATGAACACTATGCCGAGGAAGACATTCAGCTCAATTACGATGATCCAGAGCAGCAGCTCAGCACCGAGCTCACGAACGGAGTCGAGTCAGCGGGTGAAGAGCCATCAGAAAACACACAGGACGATCTCCCTCCTCTACCAGTGGATCTGAGCTCTGTCCGGGATCTGACGGAAGGCGATTTGAAGCAAGGATCAGTGATCGCTTTCAAACAGCTTGTTGTGTCCAAGGAGACGAACTGGCAACCTACTGTGTCCGATTATCTTGTGGCGAGGATAGACAACGTCTTCGAAGACAATGTACTCAAGCTGCAGCTTGCCAAGCGCGACCGGCGACAAGTCGAGCAACCCGACGAGGATGACGAAGAAGACGGCACTCGAGGATATGACAAATTCGAAATGCCCGGCATGGACGACGATCAAGCGGAAGACGACGGTTTCCGAGAGATATCATTCGCCGATCTGTTTGATGCAAAGCTCGTTCAAGCTGCGGATGTGGCAGACGTTGGGGGTGCCGACAAAGTCAGCAAGTCAGTACATTGATCCTCTTTCCACTACTCGAGTTGTCTGGCGTTCATGCGCTCACCGAAACTAAGCTCCTCCGCAGCTGAGGGTTCCTTTGTTCAGAATTCCAAGACCACCGGCGAGGATGAAACGATGCGTGAGGCTGAGGCAGTCAATGATAGCAATAGGAACTCTCCCCAACCGTCTGTCAGTTCGCATGCTCGTGAGGTGCCTGCAGACGAAACCGTCGAGGCAGTTGATCATACCGCAGAAGGCACCGGAGGTAGTGGTCCAGAAGAAGACGCCAGCCCTGTTATACAATCACCACAATTCGTTGGATTTCACTCTCCTCAAGCGGAGACGCAACCGTCGCTCTCCGAGCCGAGCCCTGAGCAGGAGACTGGCGAAGTCACCTCTGCTGGTACTCAGAATGCAGATGGGGGCTATGATAGTGGAAAACAATCCAATTCCCTTCCAAAAGCCACAGAGGCCCCCTCAACTCTTCGGTCTACTGTTCCTCCCAACGCCTTCGATGACGCTCCTCCGGCGACCGGTTCAGAAGACGAACTGCAATTGCTCAGCAGCCCGGACAATTTCGTTAATTTCAACCGTTTGCTTGAACAGCTCTTCCAGGGCAAGCGGCCGACTCCGGGCTCCCCAGTTCCGAAGGATGAGCCAGGCGACAGTCCGGGGATGCCAAGGTCACGGGCATCATCGTCTTCTAGTTCTTTCGTGCCTAACCCGTTCTACGAAGTCGACAAGGCCCATGAAGAGCGCCTGCGACGAAGCTCGCAGAAAGCCAAGGGCGATACTGTGACAGTAGAAGATGAATCGGCGGTGGACTCCGCGCCGCCAAAGTCCCAGTTATCCACTCCCATATCCCGCAAGACTCCTACAAGCGCACAGCCGCAGAGGTCTCCTACGCCTCAGGACCAATCTCTCAAGAGTTCAATCGAAGAAAGCAACTGGCTGACCCGGCTCGACGAGGCGTCTGGCACTCAGCCTCCCACAGCATCGCAGCTCTCGAATATAGTCGATCTGACTCAGTCCAGTCCGCCGGTCTCGCCTGGCGGAAGTGATGAGGACTTTGCCAAATCACATCGACTGCCGCGGGGTCCTGGGTGGGTGCAGAAGAATGTTCCGAGCACGCGGAGGCGCACCAGGCTTTCTTCATCCAGAGTCAAACGCAAACACTGAATGACACGCATCTAGCCACCCAGCCAGACACATGAATAGTGGAAGAAGGATTGTAAATATCTATTTGCTGTGAATGTGTATTTTGTTTGTTGTCCATATGTTTCTATGTTAGGCGCTGAAGGAGTTGAAGTGTACATAATGTCTTTCTTGGTTGTACCTATTCTACCACTCATAGCTATCTAATTTGCTCAAACTCATGATTGCTGCGACCCTTTCAGTACCTTAATTCTACTTTACCTCTTTTTTTCTCTGCGTTGTGGCGTAACGGAACTCGCATTTTGATCGACATGGAGCCACCCAGTAGATATATATCAAGTCTAAAGTAGAGCCGGAAGAGAAACAGGCTACCAGAACAGGTGGTCAAGCACAAATACAGTTGTTGATATACTCTTTTGACTCTATGTACCCTGTAGACTTCCCTTTAACCATAGATTTGCTGAGTGTCTCGCTCTGTTCATTATTCCACTAACTTGCAAACCACCCACCATACCACAATAATGTGACGTTTTCTCCTTGTGGTGCTTTGCTTAAGCTAGGTACATTATACAACAAAGCACAAAAAAGCGAGAATCATGAATATAAATCGAATCAAAAATGATGTCAAATCTGGTGCTCCTATCTCTTTTTTCATAGCACCTGGTAGGTTATTATCACATGTAGCCTTCTATCTTATCTATCTGATCTATACCACTCTATGTAGTCGGTGATATTTACTTCACCCTTTTGGTAATGGATTGATGTATGGACCATTGACGTTATGACCGGTAGAGCCGGAACTGATATCATATAGGACCGCATTACTACCCATACGAAGAACCTAAGGTAGATCATTGTATCATATCCTGTTCTTTCTCTGATGATAGAATGGTGGATGACAATTTGAGTGCTGTGATTGGTCACAGCCAGCATTTGTCACGACGTCATCGTCCATTACCCCGACAGACGAGAAGCAGCAGCAGAAGCAGTGGTAAGATGAATAGATGGAGTATCTACTCCAGACCTTTAGTCTATATCAAATGGAAGAAAGGGAATGAATGATTCCCGTGTACATGTCCTACCGAAGTTAATGATTTTTCTCTAGCAATAATAATACTCTCGATCTACTCCGTATTGATCAATCGTCCTACAGAATTACTTATGCATTTACCCCTCCCCCGCGGGTCACGCATCTACTGCAATTTATCTAGGACCCAGGTTTTTCCTTCTTCTCTGTCCTCTTCTACTCGTCTTTCATCATCCTTTTCTTCCAATCGCGCCGGCCGCTGTGCCTGTGGTTGTCGCAATTCCGCCTCTTGCTCCTGCTCCTGCTGTGTTCATCCATCCTCTCTATCCCCTTCAACCAAAGCTACTAGATCATTTACTACCACCGCTTCGCGCACCCTATCCCGCACATCACCATCCAGAATGGCGCAGGAATACAAACTCAAGGACATCTCGTCCCTAGCGGACATCAAGAACATGGACAAGGTCGAGTCGGAGGTCGAGGGTGTCGAGGGCGGCAAGGTCCTGGTCCTGCGATTCAATGGCCAGGTGCATGCGATGAGCCCCAAATGTACCCATTACGGAGCTCCGCTGAAGCTGGGGGTCGTTGCTCCTGATGGTCGAATTACCTGTCCCTGGCATGGAGGTATGTTGGTCCTGGTAAGGGAGTTGGGCTGATTGGATGCTGATCATCGTGGGCAGCCTGTTTCAATATTGGCAGCGGTGATGTGGAAGATGCCCCTGCTCCCAACGCATTGAACAAATTTGAGCTTGTGGAGAAGAACGGTGCGGTCTATATCAAGGGTGATGAGGCTGCGATCAAATCTGGACAGAGGGATCCAGTGTTCAAATGCAGCCCTTCCACTGGGGAGAAGGTGGTCATTGTTGGCGGGTAAGTCTTTGATCTTTACAGCGCCACGAGTCTACAGAGCTGACGAGGCGATGCTACACAGTGGAAGCGGTACGTTCGGGCTCATCCAGGCCCTCCGTGAACTGAAATACAAGGGAGCGATCACAATCATCTCCAGAGAACCAAACCTTATCATCGACAGGACAAAGTTGTCCAAGGCACTCATTCCCGATGCCGAGAAGATCCAGTGGCGTCCTAAGGAGTGGTACGAGGCCGCCTCCATCGAGACCGTCTTCGACGAGGTGACCTCCGTCGACTTTAGCAGCAAGTCCGTCTCCACAAAGTCCGGCAAATCCTTCCCATACACCAAGCTGGTTCTTGCTACCGGTGGTGTGCCGCGCACACTGTCCATGGAAGGCTTCAATGCCCTCGGAAACATCTTCCTGCTGCGCTTCGTGACCGATGTGCAGAACATCCTCAAGGCGGTTGGCGACAAGAACAAGAAGATCGTCGTTGTGGGTAGCTCGTTCATCGGTATGGAAGTCGGCAACGCCCTCTCCAAGGAGAACGAGGTGACCATCGTTGGTCAAGAAGCCGCCCCCATGGAGCGCATCATGGGCGTCGAAGTCGGCCGGATCTTCCAGCGCAACCTGGAAAAGAACGGCGTCAAGTTCAAGATGTCCATCGGCGTCGAGAAGGCAACCCCCTCAGCGGCCGATCCCAGCAAAGTCGGCGCCGTCCACCTCAAAGACGGCACCGTGCTGCCCGCAAACCTAGTCATCCTGGGCGTAGGCGTCCGCCCCGCCACCGATTTCCTGCAGGACAACCCAGCCGTCCAGCTCGAGAAGGACGGCTCCATCAGGACGGACGAGTACTTTGCCGTCCCCGGTCTGAACAACGACGTCTTCGCCATCGGCGACATCGCCACATACCCCTACCGCGGGCCCGGCGCAGACCAGGTAAACGGCACCCCCACCCGCATCGAGCACTGGAACGTCGCGCAGAATGCAGGCCGCGGCGTCGGCCGCGCCATCGTCCACGCCCTCAACACGGGCTCGCTGCAGTCCCTGCGCCCTAAGGCGTTCATCCCCATCTTCTGGTCTGCCTTGGGTGCGCAGCTGCGCTACTGCGGGAATGCCCCCAATGGCTGGGATGGACTGGTGCTCAAGGGCGAGCCGGAGAATGCCAAGTTCGCCGCGTACTACTGCAAGGGCGAGACGGTGGTGGCGGTCGCGACGATGGGCATGGATCCCATTATGAGCAAGTGCGCCGAGTTGATGCGTCGGGGCAACATGCCATCCAAGTCGCAGATTGAAAGTGGAGTGGATGTGTTGGCGGTTGACGTGCCGCAGGAGGTGACGATGTAATAATCCGTGGTCGGGCAGTTCGCACATATGACGGTTGATTTTGATATAAATAATCAAGTGCTTCAAGATTGTGTATTGTGTAACTCATCCAAGCCATCTATCAAGTTCCAATGCCAGTACGGCTCAGTACTCGGGTTGGAGAGCTTTTCTGTATTTCACTAGCAGATACCATGACAACGCTGAATGAATTTTGATTTCTCCCTTCTAACGCCAAACAAGCATTGAATATATAACAGGGAAAGACGCCGCGGTGCGTCTATGGTAAATGACAAAACTAGTTAGTTATCGTCGGTCTGGATCATTTCTCCTCCTTTTTCTTCTTCGATTTCGAGGACTTTGATTTCTTCTCCTTTTCCGTCTTGCGGTCCTTCTTCTTGCTCGGTGATTCTTCCAAGGCTCCCGTATCTGCGTCGGCGTCGGCGTCGGCGTCTGCATCGGCAGTGTTCAGCTGCGTCTCCGGAGCAGCCGAGGTCGAACCTGCTAATGCGCCGGACATGGTGTTCGAGGGTTCCCACTGTCCCTGTGGTGGTCGAGGAGTCATAGAAGAGTAATTCCCATTGTGCTCATCTTCGAGGACTCCGGCTTCCTCTTCGGGCGACAGCATTGTACCCTCGATGCTGAGGAAGCCACGCTCGCGATCGGAGCCGGGGATGACGTCGATATCGACGACTGTGAACCGGACCGTGCCGCGGACGCGGTGCCCCGAGACAGACTGGAAGTAGCCCTCCGCGGCGGACTCGTCGTCCTCGGCGGAGCCGTTGTTAAGGTCCATGGTTTCGGAGAAGGGGTTGGCGTCGGAGGCGAGCGAGGTAGGCTTGAAGTGTTCCTTTTCCGGGTCAAAGTGAGACGAGGGCTCGGAGTCGTCCTCGTCTTCGGTCGACGAGAAGACCTTCTTCTTCGGCTTTTCTCCGCTGTTGAATCCTTCTTCTTCTTCTTCTTCGCCGGGTGGCACCCATTTCCAGTTCGAGGGGAGTCTTTTGCGCTCGATTCCGACGGAGAACAGGTTCAGGACGACGGCGCCGAGGAAGCCCTCGGATTGGACGTTGACCCAGCCCTCGAGAATCTGGCCGCGCTGGGGACGGAAGACTAGAAACGTGGCTGTCAGGTAGACGTACAGGACGCCGTACTCGTCTGCCGTCTTTGCGAGAGTCAACGGCTGTGGGTTGTCATGTGGATCAGAGGAGGGGGAAGAGGCGCTCGGCGGTTCGCTTGATATCGAGGCGTTGGAGTAGGCCAGAATCACGCCCTGTAGAGGGGGGTAGTATGTGAGGAGGAGAGGCGAGAGGTGCTCTGCCAGCAGAGAGGCCAGCGCATGGGTGGGCGAGATGGCGATGGGCGATAGCGGAAGGTAGAGTGTTGCGGTGGTCAGAACATAAGGCGAGTCGGAGGGTGATGGTGCGTCCTCGGACGACTTTTTCTTGCTCTTCTCTTTGCTCTTGGAGGATTTTTTGCTTGTTGTCTCGTGGACTGTTGTCTCGTCGGCGATCAGGTTGGAGTCGTGCTTCCGCTTCTTCTTCGAGGACTGGTCCTTGTGCTTGTGTTTGCGCTTGCGCTCAGGCTCTGCCACTGCCGCAGGCGCAGGGCTCGAGTCTACATCCATTGCATCGACAGCCATTGTGCAATGGGAACGCCCCCAGTCTTATCTAGTGGAGTGTTGAAGATCGACTTGCGGAGGTCGAGAACTTTTTTTCTTTCGCGTTTTTTACATTCTTCCCCGTTGGGGAGAATTCGGTAGGCGGTGGGCTAGGCGGTGAAGATGATGACAGCGAACCATATCATAACTCCAGCGCCAGAGTAAACAT